TACTTAAAGTATACTTTAAAATATACTTGAACTTTACTTAAGTATAATCTTGAAGTATGCTACTTTTTGGTAAGGGCACTCTCAGTTCTATATCAGACTCCGCTAAAAGTGCTCTTTGTGGCGATCTATAAATTAAAATAATAGTAGAATATAACAGACTGATAGACTGAAGAGCGCGAGAGTTGAGCGGAAGTGAGCAGGGCTTGCTTGTTTGTTTTTAATATAAAAAGTTATTCTTTTACAAACATAAAAGCCCTTTCATAAGAAAAGTGAAATGAATACGCTTCAGGCTGAAGGAAATGTAAATTCACGTCTGTACAGTAGAGGGCGCCGCGCAAACAAATCGCATGAAGAATATGACACAGGAGAAGAAAGTTCAGCACTATTCAGCAATAACAAAAATCGAACACAAATGTGTCATTTTTGATTATTAGCATGGTTAAATTGGATCATCGAAGGTCAGTAGCAAAGACATTGGTTAATAAAATGGGATTAAATACATAAATGCTATTTGTCTTATTTAATTATTGGGTTTGTATAATATTCTGAGTTTGCATTTGACTGTTTTTATTCATTTTGAGGAATACTGAATGTGTTTTTGTGCAGGTGAGATGAGTAAATGCATGTTCATATTTAGTCTAGAACTACAGTAAGATCATGTTCACACACAACGCCTCTGCACTTACTCCTGATTTCTCTCAACATGGCAACACCAGAGCTTATTTGAAAAAGTAACTCAGATATTTCCTTCTAAATGAAAAAGTAATGCATTACTTTACTTGGGACTTAAAAAGTCATTTGATTACGTAACTCGCGTTACTTGTAATGCATTACCCCCAACACTGTTGGCGGATTATACACAGGGCAACTTTGTAAAATGTTGCCGTCAATGGGCAACCAGGTGAGAGACACAGGGCCCACGACTGATTTAAAGTATCCAGATAGAATTGTTACCCATTCTCAATGGGAAAGTGCCCAAGCAACATTGCTCAAAAAAGTTGCCCCGTGTATCATCAGCCTTAGGGTTCATGCAAATGTTCATAAAATTAGATAATGTCCTGATAATGAGTTGCCAGTACATTTTCTGTTATTTGATTCCTTACAGTGTAGATTGGGACGAGGGGCTGTTGTTAATGTTATGTAATTTGTAATAAAGATAAAAACAAAATCTTTGTCACCATAGCCTCATTTATTCTGAACTTATACAGACGCCCATCGCTTCTATATTTTAAAAGTAGTAATACATAGCTGTAGCTTATTTATGAGTCTGATTCTGTGATTAGATTTTTCAGTTTCTGTATTAATTACAAATGAATGTGTATTAAACTGTTAAGATGAAAGTGAAAGTGACTTGACATGTGGCCAAGTATGACCCATACTTGGAATTAGTGCTCTGCGTTTAACCCATTCAAAGTGCACACACACAGCAGTGAACACACACACACCGTGAACACACACCCGGAGCAGTGGGCAGCCATTTATGCTGTGGCACTCCCCCCCCCTACAATCCCTGCCGGTACAAAACTCGAACCCACAACCTTTGGGTTATGAGTCCGACTCTCTAACCATTAGGCCACGACTTCCCAGATGCATAATAAATAAAACAACATTTGATTTAGGGGTAATAACATAAAGGGGTTATTCAATCATATCAGATGTACTTTATCCACCTGTTTTTTTTAGCACTCTCTATTCTATTTCTATTCAATCTACTATTTTTCTTTTTATTTATAAAAAAAATGGACCCTTCTCTATTCTTTTTCTATTCTAACTACTTGTTTTCTTATTCCCTTAACCTATTTTTCGACTTTAAAACAGTTGTTACAACAATTAAAGAGTATGTAATAGTTGTTACTATTGTTGCTAAAGTAATATACTGGATCTAAATAAATTACAGTTCATCAGTACATGTACATTAGCTCTGTTTCCCTAAACCTTGAGATTGATATTATATCAATGCTCTGCATCTCTTTGTTTCCTGCTGTAGGACAGTATGGAGAGGCGTATGACAACCACATGTTCTTGGCCAGGTTTTTCACCGAGCCGGAGGACAAATGGTTAAAGCATCATTTCATTCAGCTGGCCCTCCATTCAGCTCGCAAATTCAAGATGGACTCTGGCAAAAGAGAGGCTGAGGCCAACCTACACATGGGCCAAGTTTATTTAGAGAAGGGTAACATACATACACAGTCCTTCATATATTCAGATTTAAATTTCCTACCTCAGTTCAAACTTGAATCAATTAGACTACACTGAATTGGAATTTAAAAGACATTCTCAATTCAAATCAATTTAAATTCAAATCAGCGTTTCTTTTAAATTGTGGGGAGAGAAATATGACCCTATTTTGTAAAATTCACCCAAACCCTGTGTGTTGCAGGTCAGCTGGAGCGAGCACAAGAGCATTATGAGGTGTTTTATCACCTGACCATGGGCCGTACATGGCAGGACCCCAGCGGCCGCATGCATCACTCACGCTCATGTGAGGAGCTCCAGAAGCTGTTCACGCTGCTGGGACAGAGATTGCTTCAGGCACAAGACTACACACATGCCATCAAGATGTTCAACGAGGCCTACCAGATGGCTAAAGAGTGTATGCACACTCCGTTCACACTGACAGTGATTTGACCTGACATAAGCAGAAATACATGCAGCGTGCCCAGCTACATGACAAAGCTTAGTAAAATGTACCTTTGAATTTGAACGAAGTAAAGTTTAGTCAAGAGTAGGCAAGGTGGAGGAGAAATTAGATTTTCTTATTCAATATAATTTTTTTTAAAAGTACATAGTAATAAAGTGCTTGCAAACTATTAGTTTATAGTTAATTAATCGTTTATAAACTGTAATTAATCTATTAATAGACAAACTTCATTCATTGTCAGTAATTAAGTGTTGTTGTTTAATTAGTTCTTATGTAAAGAGTTAGATAATGCTTTGTTGACAATCTGTAAATAGTTCTCACAATTTTTTTAAGTATGGCTAATTATCTTATTGTCATATAATGACAATAAGATTGACATCTTATACATTTATACTGGCAATACAACCCGTGTATGATCAGATTTTCAAACGCTTGGCCAGTTGAGCATTCCATGAATAGCATTAGGGCAGCATAAGGAACTTCCACGTCAGATTTCCAGCAGTAAAACCACACAACCCCTATATCACAGTTTGATGATTCTTACTGTTGTTGGTTTTTGATCTGTCGTCTAGCGGGAGATCGAGGGTCAGAAGGAGAAGCAGCCTATAGACTGGGCCTGGCGTATCAGAGCACTGGAGACCAGAAGACTGCTAAACAGGTATGTTCAGAGCGCTCACAAACTCTGCTCGTTCATTCTGTAATTATTTGTTTTTTGATGTTTTTGTTGCTTGTGCCAGTTTTTCAGCGTATGTATGGAGATCTCCACAATACTTAAAAATGCAGACAGCCTGGGAAGAGCATATGAAGCCATTGCCAAATCTCTGGAGAGGTACAGTAGATGCACACACACACACACATCACACATTTAAAGCTGAGATGTAAAGCTTCATTTCTAAAATAATGACTGTTTGTAGAGACAGAAAAACCCAATGTTTTGCAATGAAAAAGTACAAAAAAATGACCAGTAAACATGGTTCTAGACATATCAAAGAAAATGAAAAAAAGAATACGCAAAAAAGTATTCTCGTAGCTTCGTAACTTTACAGTTGAGCCACTGATGTCACACGGACTACTTTGTAGATCATCTTGGTACTTTTCTGGACCTTGAACGTGGTAGTTACCTTGCTGTCTATGGGAGGGTCAGAGAGCCCTCAGATTTCATCAAAAATATCTTAAATTGTGTTCCGAAGATGAACGAAGGTCTTACAGGTTTTGAACAACACGAGGGTGAGTAATTAATGACAGAATTTTCATTTTTGGGTGAACTATCCCTTTAAGTGTCAACCGGATGTGATGTTTTATGACACTTAATTGGATGTTATTTGTTTACAGTTAAATGGAAATTTATTATATTTTAAATTCATATTAAATGCAATTAGCTGAACTTTAGAATTCTATTTTCACACACTAGTAGGACTTGAGTTAGGCAACCTTTGTATTCTGTTGTTTAAAGAAATATGGTTAAAGTGTACTGCTGAATGTGCTGACAAGCATTTGTGGTAAACTGAAATATTATTGAATTGAATTTCTATTCAAACTGTACATGTAAACTTTAAATCTAATATCTAATAACACATTAAAGTTAAAAGGACTTCACATGTGATTTAGCATGTTTGGCAACACATCAAAATAAGTGTACTTTAAAGCGCAACAAAAATATTATTAAAACATAATGATTTAAAATATACTTTAAAGTAAAACTTTCAAAGTGCACTTTTTTAAAAGTGTACTTAAGTGTGTTAAGAAGCAGTCATGAAAGTGCCTTTCTTCAAGCTTTTAGTTGAACAAGTTCTTCACAAATTCACCAAAAGTGATCATTTTGTCATCATTTATTTATTGGTATTATGTCTTATGCACTTGTAATTAAAATCTGTGCATTAATGTCCTGCTAGCATAAATGCTTTATCAAGTATTTAAAATATTACACATTTAGAGAACGATTTTGAACCATCTGAAGCCACACATAAACAAAAACCACACATTCCTATTGGCCTTAGAAACACAGGCAAACTTTTTGCTCTGCTGTTCGACTCTTGATCTTTATGTTTGTCCATTCATGAGTGAATGAACGAGTGTGTAAAAACCTCAAATCATTCTGATAACACTTTTAAATTAATAACATAAACGGACATTATAACACTGTACATTGTGTAACATTCAAGATAAAAGTTTAATTACATTTGATTATATCTGAACAAAGTACTGCTCTGAGAAGCGTTATGTAATGATGTTGATGTATAGCTTAATGATTAATTTGATTATTATTGCAAAGTGTATTTAGCAGTTTTGGAAGTTTATTTGCAGAATAAACAAGTACAGGGACCCCCTTGTGAAAAAGAAGTGGGCTTCATTGTATTGAATGGGCACTTGTAGTGTGCTTCAAATTGTAAGCGCCTTACTGTAAATTCTTCAAAACTGATACTGTAATATTAATTAAATGAAAGGTCACTTAAGTGTACTTAAAAGTACACATTTAAAAAGTGCACAGATTTCATTCAAAGTACATTTTAAATCATTATGTTTGAGTAATCTTTTGTTGTGCTTTAAAGAAGTACGCTTATTTTGATGTGTTGACTAGCATACTAAAGTACATGTAAAGTACTTGCTTATAATTGTAACTTTTGTTTTATTTTGCATGAATTATTATCCCCAAATCTGCTAATTGCGTCTTCATCATTACAAATGTGTTTAAAATATATATATATATATATATATATTTAAAAAATAGACTACATTACTTATGTTTCATTAAAATAATTTGACGTATATTTTAGTTTACACTTAAAATACTTTTGTTATCAAGGAAAAAAATAATAATGCATGGCCGCTTAGAACTTCCGTAGTTAAAGTAAAAAAAAACACTGTTTTTACAGTGTATTCACATCAACTAGATCTCAGAAAACCTGACGGAAGTCTTTATTTCTTGTAGTATAGAAGGTTGTTTGTTTTGTCCAGTAGAAAGTCCGCCTCTCTCTCTCTCTCTCTTTCTCTCTCTCTCTCTCCCTCTCTCGCTCGCTCGCTCTCTCTCGCTCTCTCCCTCTCTCTCCCTCCCTCTCTCGCTCGCTCTCTCTCTCGCTCTCTCGCTCTCCCTCTCTCCCTCTCTCCCTCTCTCTCTGTCTCTCTCCATCTCTCGCTCGCTCTCTCTCTCGCTCTCTCTCTCTCCCTCGCTCTCCCTCGCTCTCTCTCTCTCCCTCGCTCTCTCTCGCTCTCCCTCGCTCTCCCTCGCTCTCTCTCTCTCCCTCGCTCTCTCTCGCTCTCCCTCGCTCTCCCTCGCTCTCTCTCTCTCCCTCGCTCTCTCTCGCTCTCCCTCGCTCTCCCTCGCTCTCTCTCTCTCCCTCGCTCTCTCTCGCTCTCCCTCGCTCTCCCTCGCTCTCTCTCTCTCCCTCGCTCTCTCTCGCTCTCCCTCGCTCTCCCTCGCTCTCTCTCTCTCCCTCGCTCTCTCTCGCTCTCCCTCGCTCTCCCTCGCTCTCTCTCTCTCCCTCGCTCTCTCTCGCTCTCCCTCGCTCTCCCTCGCTCTCTCTCTCTCCCTCGCTCTCTCTCGCTCTCCCTCGCTCTCCCTCGCTCTCTCTCTCTCCCTCGCTCTCTCTCGCTCTCCCTCGCTCTCCCTCGCTCTCTCTCTCTCCCTCGCTCTCTCTCGCTCTCCCTCGCTCTCCCTCGCTCTCTCTCTCTCCCTCGCTCTCTCTCGCTCTCCCTCGCTCTCCCTCGCTCTCTCTCTCTCCCTCGCTCTCTCTCGCTCTCCCTCGCTCTCCCTCGCTCTCTCTCTCTCCCTCGCTCTCTCTCGCTCTCCCTCGCTCTCCCTCGCTCTCTCTCTCTCCCTCGCTCTCTCTCGCTCTCCCTCGCTCTCCCTCGCTCTCTCTCTCTCCCTCGCTCTCTCTCGCTCTCCCTCGCTCTCCCTCGCTCTCTCTCTCTCCCTCGCTCTCTCTCGCTCTCCCTCGCTCTCCCTCGCTCTCTCTCTCTCCCTCGCTCTCTCTCGCTCTCCCTCGCTCTCCCTCGCTCTCTCTCTCTCCCTCGCTCTCTCTCGCTCTCCCTCGCTCTCCCTCGCTCTCTCTCTCTCCCTCGCTCTCTCTCGCTCTCCCTCGCTCTCCCTCGCTCTCTCTCTCTCCCTCGCTCTCTCTCGCTCTCCCTCGCTCTCCCTCGCTCTCTCTCTCTCCCTCGCTCTCTCTCGCTCTCCCTCGCTCTCCCTCGCTCTCTCTCTCTCCCTCGCTCTCTCTCGCTCTCCCTCGCTCTCCCTCGCTCTCTCTCTCTCCCTCGCTCTCTCTCGCTCTCCCTCGCTCTCCCTCGCTCTCTCTCTCTCCCTCGCTCTCTCTCGCTCTCCCTCGCTCTCCCTCGCTCTCTCTCTCTCCCTCGCTCTCTCTCGCTCTCCCTCGCTCTCCCTCGCTCTCTCTCTCTCCCTCGCTCTCTCTCGCTCTCCCTCGCTCTCCCTCGCTCTCTCTCTCTCCCTCGCTCTCTCTCGCTCTCCCTCGCTCTCCCTCGCTCTCTCTCTCTCCCTCGCTCTCTCTCGCTCTCCCTCGCTCTCCCTCGCTCTCTCTCTCTCCCTCGCTCTCTCTCGCTCTCCCTCGCTCTCCCTCGCTCTCTCTCTCTCCCTCGCTCTCTCTCGCTCTCCCTCGCTCTCCCTCGCTCTCTCTCTCTCCCTCGCTCTCTCTCGCTCTCCCTCGCTCTCCCTCGCTCTCTCTCTCTCCCTCGCTCTCTCTCGCTCTCCCTCGCTCTCCCTCGCTCTCTCTCTCTCCCTCGCTCTCTCTCGCTCTCCCTCGCTCTCCCTCGCTCTCTCTCTCTCCCTCGCTCTCTCTCGCTCTCCCTCGCTCTCCCTCGCTCTCTCTCTCTCCCTCGCTCTCTCTCGCTCTCCCTCGCTCTCCCTCGCTCTCTCTCTCTCCCTCGCTCTCTCTCGCTCTCCCTCGCTCTCCCTCGCTCTCTCTCTCTCCCTCGCTCTCTCTCGCTCTCCCTCGCTCTCCCTCGCTCTCTCTCTCTCCCTCGCTCTCTCTCGCTCTCCCTCGCTCTCCCTCGCTCTCTCTCTCTCCCTCGCTCTCTCTCGCTCTCCCTCGCTCTCCCTCGCTCTCTCTCTCTCCCTCGCTCTCTCTCGCTCTCCCTCGCTCTCCCTCGCTCTCCCTCTCTCTCTCTCGCTCTCTCTCTCTCCCTCGCTCTCCCTCTCTCCCTCGCTCTCTCTCGCTCTCCCTCGCTCTCCCTCGCTCTCCCTCGCTCTCTCTCTCTCCCTCTCTCTCCCTCGCTCTCCCGCTCTCCCTCTCTCTCTCTCTCCCTCTCTCTCTCTCGCTCTCCCTCGCTCTCCCTCGCTCTCTCTCTCTCCCTCGCTCTCTCTCATATCGCTTCCTCTTTCTCACATCGAGCTCAGTGCTATAGCGGACCCCGCGCGCAACAGTCTCCTCATGTTATGCAGCTTTACGCGAGTATCCCGTTGAGTTTGGAGTCGCTCTCCGTGAATCATGTCTTTGCACTCGCGTTGCTTGTGTGTTTGGCGATAGTGGTTAAATTATTGGTTATGAGGAGAAGAGGGATGTGTACACTGCACACTGGCTCATCGGACACGTCAAGGAGGTAAACAACACAACCACAAACAGTGACTGTTTCTGAAGCTGATCTTTGGAGTCCATTGTAGTCCGTGCATGCTTCCTTCTATTTAATTAGAATAACTTTTAGGAGATTTATCCTACTAAATTTTTTTTATACATTTATACCATTTTATACAGTCTATTCATGAGTACAGTGGGGAAAAAAATTAGTGAAGAAACAAATTGTTGGTAATTTTCAAAATTATTTACAAAAGTAATATTTTCTTGTAAAACGTACTCCAGTCATTTTTGTTTGAATTACAACTTTGAAAAACCATTGTATTACAGTCATAATACACAATGTAGGCATTTGCCCCAGTTTGCCCTTGTTATCTTCGAGGGATGAACCCTCATGCCTGAGCCCTTGTCTATTCACTACAAGTAAACAATTACATAATTATATTGTGCAGCAATAAACAACAGCCTTGCCTTGCATTCACATTCTTCAGCAGCAGTTGGTAGAATTCACGTGAAATTAATAAAGCGAGAACGCAATTTGTTCTTGAAACCTGTTTTATTGTCCATAACAGTTACACAGACCTTTTTTATATTCATAGTTTCGCCAGGATGGACATGATTTGGAAAAGGTTATGAAGTGGAGTGGACAGTATCCCTTTGCCTTTCCGCTGTGGTTTGGCCCATCATTGTCCATTCTGAACATCCACCACCCATCATATGTGAAGACCCTTCTCACCACTACAGGTGATCATCCGTTTGACACTTTTACGATTTAATTTAACTTTCTCAAATATTTACAACCAAAACCAGCATTTTAAAATTATTATCTTTCGCTTTATTTACAGAACCAAAAGATGATTATGCATACAAGTTTTTCATCCCTTGGTTAGGTAAGATCACACCTAAAATGTAAAATTATTTCTTTATTAAAGGGGTCATATGATGTTGCTAAAAAGTACATTATTTTGTGTATTTGGTGTAATGAAATGTGTTTATGCGGTTTAAGGTTAAAAAAACACATTCATTTCCACATACTGTACATTATTGTTTCTCCTCTATGCCCCGCCTTTCTGAAACGCGTTGATTTTTACAAAGCTCATCGGTCTGAAAAGCGAGGTGTGCTGTGATTGGTCAGCTATCCAGTGCATTGTGATTGGCCGAATTCCTCAAGCGTGTGACGGAAATGTTACGTCCCTTACCATATTGTGATGCCTGCGGCAACCATATGTGACGACCCCGGGCTGGATTCCGCTTCGTCCACGGTGAAAGCCGATCCGGCGATCCACAGCACGAAGTTGATGCATTTCCTCAGCGACCAGCACAGATCAGCTCCAGGCATGACGAAG